CCTGACAACCCCACACAAGTTCAAACCATCCTGACAACCCCACACAAGTTCAAAACCATCCTGAAACCCCACACAAGTTCAAAACCCTCCTGACAACCCCACACAAGTTCAAAACCCTCCTGACAACCCCACACAAGTAAAAAGTTTCCTTGGTGATAAAGAACTTTTCTTCAAAAGCTTCCACAAGTTTGATATAGAAGCTTTTAACAAAACTGTTTCTAGAATAAATAAATCTCTGAAACCTACTAAAGTTATACTCCATGATAGAAAAACTCCAAAAGATCCTCACCTTCTCCTTGATCGCTTCGTTTTGTTCTTGTAAATATGTGTTCATGCTAATAGCATGTGAGGAGCGGTCGAACCGGAACAATGCAAACTGTGAGGGAAAAAAACGAGAGTTACAGTATTTACAAAGTCATCAACTAAGGCATAAAAACAACTCTTAATATAAACCATTAAGTACGAACAAATCAAAAACTACAATAAACAACTGCACTTGACAAAGCATGTAAAGTGTTAGATTTGTAGCACAATCCCATACGACTCAATTAAACTTCATTATTCAAAAACTATTCTCTCTGTAACATAGGATAAGTAAAAAACAAATATATTTCCTGAGGATTCCAAGCTGTAGGTTATTCCGCAAAACAATAAAATATCGTGTAGTTTTTAATTAGGCCTACACAATTTAATTTTTTACATTGTTCTAACATTAGCCAGCAATAAACAAATAATGAAACGTCGACACTCTCATGGCAAACAGTCACATTTGTTGTTAATCTAATGTTAATCTAAATTAATGCAAACAAATTTCTACAAATTGTACTATAGAGCATATGTAAAAATGGTATTTTAACCAACCTACACAAAAATGTAATGTATACGTAATGAGACAATACAAGAGCGTTGATACATTTTTAATAACCAGGGACCCACTTTGAGACCATAAAGTTTGAATACAGCTTTGTGCTCCTCATAAAGACAAAGCCTGGTCGAAGCATTGTATATTTGTAACTACATTATCTTGTAATTTTAAACTTTGATACATTTTTAATAACCAGGGACCCACTTTGAGACCATAAAGTTTGAACATAGCTTTGTGCTCCTCATAAAGACAAAACCTTGTTGAAGCATTGTATATTTGTTACTACACTGTTGCAATTTTAAACTTTGATACATTTTTAATGAACAGGAACCCACTCTGAGACTATAAAGTTTGAATACAGCTTTGTGCTCCTCATAAAGACAAAACCTTGTCGAGGCAATGCACATTTGTTACTACATTATCTTGCAATTTTAAACTTTGATACATTTTTAATGACCAGGAACCCACTTTGAGACCAAAAAGTTTGAATACAGCTTTGTGCTCCTCATAAAGATAAAGCCTTGTCGAAGCAATGCACATTTGTTACTAAATCATCTTGTAATAAACTTTTCAAACTTTGATATCACTGTGCCAAACTGATTAACATTAACAGAGAAGTTCATTAAACAAACAGTTCTTGTGTATATAAAAATATTCTTTCATAAAGAGCAACAGTATTGGATGAAAGATCTGAGTACACAATAAATAGCTGACCAAAATTCGGGTGAAAATAAAGTACAAATTAATTTGGGAACCAGAGCGTCATTTAACATTTTATCAAAACACTAAAGATTCTGTTCATCTCTTTTTGTCTACCAAGAAAATCCTAGATAGTATCTTAGAATTAAACACCAGTGAGAGAATTTTACCTTTTTTGGTTTGATGTTACGACGTTTAGCAAAGTAAGACGCCATGCCACTAGTAGCAGTAGCTTCCGTAAAGGCTGGAGGAGGGTTTTGCGGAGTTGAAGTTGTGTTATGGATATCTAAGTATTCTCCAACTAATATTTCCAGCTACACATAATAAAACAGCAATGTTACATGATGTAAATATTTCAATCTATTAACTACATTATAACGCACGGATACAAGAATGAATAACACAATATTCTTCTCTCTCTCGGCTACAGAGAGAACCATAAACAGAGCTACACATTTCAAATGAACCAACAGGAGATAAAATAATTAATGTTTATTGTAAAACAAGCTTTCAAAGCAAATCATCACTACAAACTTTGGATGACATCCTCATAAATGGTGCAATCTGACCCACTGCCCTCACTTTTATATTACAATTCTGATTTTCACCCCCCGATCCTTTGTTCTTATGGCTCCTGACTTTCCCTCCCCCCGATCCTTTGTTCTTATGGCTCCTGACTT